TGTAGGTACCACTCCTTAGAATCAGCTACCTGGAGTTAATCACTGAAAGGACATTCTTTTCCTCAGCAGACTTCCTGGGGAATGCCTAATTTGACTTTACAGAAAAGGTAGTCAACTCATAGCCTTGAACCCCCAAGGTGACCTGTTCTAGAGCTCTGATAAATGGTAGTTGCCTCCCAATCTGAAGTGAGAAACATGAAAACTAGATTAATTCCTAAAATAAATTTAAACAGTATTTTAAAAGGAAAATTTCTAATCCTCTCCCAAACCTAGACAAACCCTACTCACTTTGGCTGTTGCCATTCTCCAAATTTGATCTCAACTTCCACAGTAAAGGAAAAATAATTCTAACCACTCTTTATGGACACAATAGGCAAGAACATATTAAAGGAGCTCACCATGTAGATATAAAACCATGTTTGTTTAAAGTTTGTTTTCAGGGTTGATCAGATTTTTACAATGTAGTCAGCTTATCCTAATCAATTCCAGTTTGAAAATATATACACCTTTAAACCTAACCCATGCAGCGACATGTGACAGACATTACTACGATACCAGATACAGAGAAATGGGGCTCTCCTGTGCTGGCTTGTCCTTGTTTATGGGTTCCGAAAGGAGCCTAAGCCGCCCTGGTGGGTTGGCAAAGCTAAGGAGGGGAGCTCTGTGAGGCCACAGGAGAGATCGCAACTCTCCTGTTGAACTCCCCAGGGCTTTTTCCCTCTATTCCACAACAAAGAGAAGAGGCAGTCAAAAATGGCCAGTCGAATTGGGATAGCTGAGGAACATGAAGTTGGGACAGCTGAGAAACATCTAAGAATAGTGCTGGACTGAAGTTGGTGAACAGTATTTGGAACTAGGTGAGAAGAATCTTTTTTAATTTAAACTTTCAAACCCCAAAAAGAATCTTGAAAAGGATTCACAATTATACGAAGCAACGACTGGCACATTGAATGTAGCAGCGACCTGGTACATTGAAAAAATAGCTATTTGATAAGTGCATAATGCTGCCATAGCAATGCTATGATTAGAAGACAAGTTGATCCTGCTCTCTACTGAGAGGAACCCCAAACTATCCTTTCTTATTTAAAATATGAGCCTGGTTGCTCAAACCTGCTGTCTAGATCAGGGTTCCCCAAGCTGTGAGCCGTGGCCCACAAGTGGGCTATTAGGGTTTTGCAACTGGGCTGTGGAAATGGCTGGCGAGTACACGCACACATGCATCCTCACTTGCACAAGCAATGGGCAAGCATGGGTGCTCATGCTCCATTTATGTGAGCAGAAGACATACATGCATGCCTCTTGCACAAATGGAGTTTCATGCGCGTGCATGCTGGCCACTTGCATGAACCAGTCCCTTCCTCCCTGCTAGTCCATAAAGCTGGAAACATTGGGGAACTGTGATTTAGATCTTGGTCTGTAGGCACTCCTCCGCTTACCTTTTTTTGCTCTTGTATGGTATTCCAGGCTAATACAGCTGCCAGAGCTCTTGCTTCTTTCTTGGTTTTACCAGTGGCAGATTCATATTGGACCTTGTCAATGACAACTGCTACAGTGAATCTACAGTGAAGAAAAGTAATTTATAAAACATTGTGAAGAGGGAGATGTATCATCTGCAAAATACACTCCATTGCACAACTATACCTCCCATTTTCTCCATCATCAGAAAAAGTTAACAACAGGATAATCTTGGAAGACACAACCATCATTTGTTTCCTTTTTCTCCTGAAATCATCCAGATGGGGAGGGGCTGTTTTATGAAATCTCAGATTCCCCAAATTCCAGTAAGGGATCTGATAGAAGAACAAGTCTATTTTCTCTGAACTACATTTCCATTCCTGTCTCTGTCTTGACACCATCGCTCTAGCTAAACGCTGGGCATGAAGAACAGGGATAGAACCACTTCTCATTTAGTGACCACCTCAGTTAGCACCGTTTGAAATAGATAGCAATCATAATAATAAAAATATCACTTTCTGACCAACACTTACACCCAGGACCAAATTTTAAATGCCTAATAGCAAAAGCCTTCAGTATGATTAAAATTTGGTCAGTTTCAGGTAGGAGAGGCCAGCTTGCCAAAGGGTTCTTATCAACTCATTAAGGTCACAAAACTCAGCTCCTTAACTTATGGTCAGCACTTTTTACGGACACGCTCAGGGGCTGGATTCAAATATTTTAACAACCGATTCTGTGGGCGTGGCTTAGGTGGTAGGAGTGGCTTGGTGGTCATGTGACTGGGTGGACATGGCTTGGTGATCATGTTATTGGGTGGGCGTGGCCAACTTAATATCACTCACATCGAGGCATGCATCTCTTCACCTGGCCACTCATGACTGTGGGATGCTGCAACAGTCGTAAGTGTGAAAAATGGTCATAAGTCACTTTTTTCAGTGCCATTGTAACTTTGAATGGTCACTCCACACAAGCAAAGTCCCAGCAAAGGAGGGGAAAAAAACTCCAGAGAAGTTCCTGAGACAGGAAGTCTAGTCCTACCAAGAATGTAATAAGGGTTAACGGAGAGGCAATTTCTGTAAGCAACTCCAGAATGTTTCTTTCCTGCCTTCCTTACAGGATTAGGCCAGTAATTTCTTCTAACAACTGGTTCTCCGAACTGCTTAGAATGTTAAGAACCAGTTCTAGAGAATAGGCGTGAACTGGTAGAATCCCACCCCTGGACCCGCTGCTCTGTGGAGAAAAACACTCCAGGAAGAAATAGCTTTTTAAGCACAGTCTGCTGTGGAAGGATGCAAAAAAGGAAGGGGAGAAAACAAGTCTGATCCAGGACACTTATAAGATAACTTTAATCTGAATCAGACAGCAGCAACCAATCATCTTCATAAAATCTCTCCCTCCCTCTCTCTGTGTGTGTGTGTATGTGTCACACAGTTCACTTAGTAACCATGTAGCTTAATGGCAAAGTTGATGGAACAGACTGCAGCCAGTAAACAAGGACAGGGTATACAATATCTGTGGTTCCTAAGTTGACACAATTATTCCTTTTCCCCTGTCTCAATAATGCCATTATCCCCACATAAAAACCCCCAGACTGCTCTATTACCCCAGGATATACCCAAAGTATTCCCTTAGCCAGCCCCCGCAGTTTAAGAGCCACTGATCTATATGCCGATGAACATTTTTTTAATTAAGAACCCGGCATCAGTAGACAAATAGTAGAATGGAATGGAATGGAATGGAATGGAATGGAATGGAATGGAATGGA